AGACAGAAAAACATCTATAAATTAGGTAATGAAGCAACATAAAATTACATAGAGGACTTAGAAAATAAGTCAAGGAGAAAATATGAAATTTATATAAAAATGAACTCAGACAAAATATGAAAAAAATCCACAACATTCTACCAAATAGTCACAGAGCTCAGACCAGCGGGGAAGAAAATTTCATATGAAGATCTAATCACCAAAGCAATGGCAAAATTATTGAACTGTAAGGGGGAAAAATCTAAACATAAAAGCTACCTTATACAACTGAAAGCATGTGAAAAACAAACAGCTATACTGAATAAAATAGTATGGGCTTTATTTTCCAAAAGCTTATTATTAAAACAGGAATACCCTTAGGTTTAGTTTCCATACAAACTAGCCTTTACATATAAAGGAAAATATTTTTCAAAAATTATTTCAAAACACTAATAGGTGTACGTTGTACACACAAAGAAAATTATCACCCTTAACTCAGAACTCCAGAAAATTCTTCTAACAGTAAAGATGGGAGTCACACTGAAAAAAGATTCTAGAAAGAAAAATTTTAAAAGCCCCAGAATGAAAAATACACAAAATGAAGACAGATGCTACACAGCTTCAAATATTATATTTAAACCCTTCAATCTGAGAATAAAGAAAAAAAGTTCAAAACTACAGAAAATGAAGATTGGAAGGCAGATTTTTAGTTGGTATATATTTTTAAAGGTTCTAGATATAAAACATTTGATGTATAAAATACAAATAGAATTAAATTTCTTTTCAAAGGTTTAAAATGCACTCTGATTGTTTAACAGTGCCTGGAAAAAGTCAACAAACTAGGTACTTTGGCTATTTGCCCACATCCAAGTCATAGCCTAAATACAGGTTCAGGAGATGATGGTCTTCCCAAACAAGTCAAACTAGATCCCTATGGCTTGTAGAAAGCATAACTACAAACAAATTCAAAATGCTAAAGCTTGAAAGAGCCTAAGTCTAGCCTCTTCATTTGATATAAGGAAACTGAGACTCACAGAGTTTTAGCACCTGCTAATCACCTACTAGCTGATTGACTAATTCTTTCTGCTGACCAGAGACTCAATTCCCAAACCTTAAAATTCATCCAGATGAGTTACAGTAATTATAATAAGGAAGTTGTTTTCATCATTTGTGTGCAAGGCAAAAAATAGAGAGCAAAGTTCTAAAACTGTCCCCCGAAGAAGTTTTCATCTCTCCTGGTTTTAGAGGGGAGGTCATACATATAAAGTCAATTTTTTCTGTCACACTAAAATTTGGGGGAAAATTTAACAATAACAGCAATATATAATATTCAAAAATGTTCTGTTTCCTTGTTCACCATTTCCATTCTTTGACACTTTTCTTACCTCATTCTTCAAGCATTTTCTCATCTCCCGATCAAGATCATTGCAATGACCAAAAAATTTCAGAATGGTGTGCTGAAAGGAAGAAAAGGGGTAAAATATTTCATCCCACAATATGTCAGGTCTATGGCACACAGAATATAAATACTTATTCCTATGGAAATGAGTTTTGTGTCACTTCGCTAATTAGCAAGTAATAGTTAAATCACATGTATAAAATATACAAATAAGCTTACCCAAGTCCTTCCTACGAAGGAGGAATATATGCTCTATGGATAGAACAAAAATAAAGACCTTTTCATTGATAAAAGGAAGTCCTACTAACCCACCAAAACCTCACAAAGACATAGGGTATAAGTTTTATCAACTAATACTCCTTCCTTTAAGGAGCGTGTTAAAATTGCAGCACAACCTATTCTATTGTGCCCTATTCTCTAGTACAGCACAAGTCTGTTACAGGGAATGGTGTCAAGCTGCACTGCAGCCACACTGACATGAGCAAAGAGTAATTTACTTCACTAGCAAATACACTGTCCCATAAAAGAGTTATTTAATAAACGCTTGGTGCAAGAGCCCTTTTTCTCATTTGCCTCCCTTCAAAATGTCATCAAAACACATCAGATACATAGCACTATCATTAGATGGCCTAAGTAAGCCATATAAATTAGCCAGTAATTTACAATACAGTATAAAAACAGATATGTCTAAAGTTCAAAGTCTGCTTTATTTGAAAAACAAAAATAAAAATCTTCTAGTGGTGTCAAGTCCTATGACTATTAAAATGGCAAAAAGTATGAATGCTCTGAAGGAGGTTAAGATGAAGCCTGAAGTTAAGAACCTGAATATTAGTAGGGCCAAAATTAGTGTATTTGCACTTCACAATTTTTAAGGGTGGGTTGGATAGCATGGGGATCTGTTATAATGACATGCCATAAATGCTGAACTTATAGTTGTAATAATAAGCACATCTTTTCCTTTTTTTTTTTTTTTTTTGACCGGTAAGGGGATTGCAACCCTCAGCACGGTGTGGTCTGCACCACGCTCAGCCAGTGAGCACACTGGCCATCCCTATATAGGATCTGAACCCATGGCCTCAGTACTACCAGCGCTGCTCTCCCGAGTGAGCCACCAGACCGGCCCTCTTTCTAATTAAGACTTTCATGGAAACCAAACAACACGTAATTAGTAAGCTATGACTCATACTATTTCTTTTTTTCCTGCTTCACCACTACTTCAAATGTACTTTTCAGTCCACATTGAATCCATAGTTACAGTTTTTCTGGCGAGCATTTAAGTTAGACTAAGATCTCCTATTTGATACATAATGACCTTTTCAGAATAAATATTTCCTTTGTAATTTTCTTAAACTACTTCCTTGACAACAAATAAATAGCAACAACGCATTTACACCCCTTCTAGTTAAGTAGAAATAACAAAAGGTTATACTTTTAGAATGTAAGACAATATTTCATAGCTTAGTTTACATTTATTCATATCATCTCACATACATCTTAATTTAAAAATCCATGACAAAAACTAATGTTTCCTTTCACCTCAACATTAACTAAGCCCAAATGAGAATTATACTCTGTGACCATTATGTGAAAAATATTAAACCAAAAATGCCCCAGTGGAATTGGTACAAGAAATGCCTATGGACTGTATGTAATTCTCTTGTACACACATGGCACACGACTCTAATTAATGCCTGACCTCTATTTCTAAGGAATCGAATCAAATAAACAACTGAGTGAATAAACCAATAGATATGAGAACCTTTTACATGGCGAACAATATCCCAGGCTCTAGGGATACAGCAGTGACCAAGGTAGACCTGGGCCCTACCCTCAGAGCACATAGTCAGAGGTAAGGAGACAAATGATGAAGTGACTGCCATAAAGCAGTGTTCTCAAAGTGTAGTCCAGGGACACCCAGGGGTTACCAAGTACTTTTCAGGGGATGTACAAGATCAAAAATATTTCCTTAATATTACAAAGACCTTATTTGTTTTTGTTCACTTTTATCCTCTCACAAGGGTACAGTGGAGATTTCCAGAGGCTACATAAAGTATAATAAATATCACGACATATTGAATGTAGAGGCAAATATGAGAATCTAGCTGTATTTTATTAATTCAGACATAAGAGAATTGCAAAAATGCAAAAGCAATGCCATTCTTTTCACTTTTTTTGTTTTGAAAATGAGATTTTTATGAAAAATAACTATGTTAACTGCAATATGTTTACTATTGTAATTTTAAAATTAATTTTTAAATTTCTCAGCTTTTATTCCTAATTTAGTAAATATTAGTAAATATCACTGACATAAATAAAAGCTCTTTGAGGGACTGGATAATGTTTAAGAGTGTGAAGGAGTCCTGAGACCAAAAAGTGTGAGAGCAACTGCCATGAAGTAGGAAATGTATTATGTATGGTGCCACTGAAGTACAGAATGACTGTACAAAGACAATCTAGGCCAGAAAAGGGAGAGAAAATGACCAATTAAGTTGAAGAAAACCTGAAAAACTATAAAACCTGGCTTAGCCAATGGTAAATTAGTGAGTAATGCTCTACATTAAGCAAAGGAAAAAGCAAGTATAAAGGCTTAGAAGACAGAAACAACACTTTCCAGTATAACTGCAAAAATGGGCGTGCAGTAATAAGGGGGAAAGAGTTGTGGAAGAGTGGTGAAGCCTAAGATCTACATAGAGACAATTCTGTGAAAGCCTTGAAACACCAGGAAAGAAATTTTGATTTTATTCTATAGGCAAAGGGAGTTATTTAAGGGGAACAATGATTACACTTATTTTATTTTTGAAAGATCACTCTAGATGCAATGCAGAAAGTGGACCAGGACAGAGGACAAAATGGTCAGGAGACCAATCAGAAGTCATTTACAGGTGGCCCAAATAAGATAATGTTGGCATGGACTATGTTAGTGGCACTGGCAATGGAGAACAATGATTCAAGACATATTCGACAGAGAGAATGGGCAGCACTTGGTGAGTGTTCACATGTGAGAGGTGAGGCAGATGGAGGAATTAAAGATGACACTGGTTTCTGGCTTTGACAAGTAAATATTTGCTGAAACAGAGGTAAGATAAGTTTGTGTCTGGACATGTTGAGTTTACCTGTGCGACAGTTAAGTCCACTATATAGTTGAGATAAACAGACCTGGAACTCATAAGAAATCTGAGCCAGAGACAGAGGTTTGAGGGTTATAAAACCACTGGAGTGAAGGTGTAGCCTCAGAAGGCGTAGGGTAGAGGGGACTCTGCCAAGGAGACTGAAGAGTGGCCAAAGAAACACAAAGAAAACCAGAAAAGAAAAAGGTAAGGTAGAGACCTGTGGAAGAGTTTTGAGAAGGAATCAAAATGCTGCCTGGAAGAAAAGTGAGGTAACTACTGAAAACACCTACCGAATTTAGCAATGCAATCACTAGTGACCTTGGCAGCTTTAGGATCCTAGTGAGGGTAGAAGCCAAATTGAAAAGAGGAGAAAGTAAGCATTCTTTCAATAGTTTGCTCTGAAAGGGAAACTAATATAAAATACCAGAAGGCTGGGATTATGGAAGGGATTTTGTGTATTCACTTCTCAGGATGGAAGAGATATGGGCATTTTATAATGCTAACAGGAAGACGACAAAAAAGAAGAAAAATGCAAAGATTAAAAAAATGCTGGATAAACCCAATGGTTAATGAGCTTATCTCCGGGTGGTGGAAAAAAATGTAAGTTTTGTTTGCTTTACACTTTCCTAGGTTTTTAAAACTACCATCAATGACATGTATTACATACTACTTTTATAAATCAGAAAAAAATACATAAGGACTTCCAAGTAGTTTTGAGGAAAACATCTGTTCTAAATTCTGTATTTTAACTGTAGATAATCTGAGTCTTGCTGACAAATATAGGCAAAATAGGCCAGTAGATCAGAAGCAGCTCATAGGTTCTGACGGCCATGGATATGACATTTGGCTGCAAAGACTGCAGAAGTATAAAACATGGAAAGAATGAATAAAAGCACAGCAAGTTAGGGCTATTTGGAGATAAAAGAGTCATATACTTCAAGTAGCTGAAGAGCACTACAGCATTCTAGCACAGAAAGGGGCATTCAGAATGGTGGCCTAATCTACAAAAAAGATTAAAATACAAAATCACACAAATTCAAGGCTAAGTAGACATCTTAGCTAATTTAACCCATTCATTTTATCAATTAAATAACTGAGATCTTAAGTGACATGTATTTAGTATACTTGGGGAACATAGGAAAATAAGTAGAAAGTTGAGCTTTATAAAAAAGGAATTTCACAAAAGTGCACAAATGATGCATTTCCATTTACATCAAGTACAAAAACCAAGCAAACTAAACTCTATTGTTAGACATTGAAATGCCTTCGCAGCGTGGTGACTGGCAGGGAGCACAAGAGTGTTTTAGGGCCCTGGTAATGATGTTGGTTGACCAGGATGCTTGTTAGATGGAAGTGATCCAACCGGGGGAGTATCAGGAAACAGCACAGGTAGCTAGCTGATCTGCCTTCTGATCAGCACAGGTGCCACACAGTGGAGACTAGTCAGTGTGACAGAACTGCAGGGTGCATGGTTTGCCAGAAAGACTCAGTCCCCAGCTGTTTAACCCCACATGACCCAGAAGTGACTAAAAGGCCAACAGTTAAGTTCCAGCGCACACAAAAAATTTTTCTGAGTCTGAGAAACAACAGTAACGCAGCAACTTAGCTTAGGCACAGAGTTCAAGCTCCAATCTCCCCAAGAAGATTCCCCCAAACCAGGAATTAATCACAGGACAGCAAATTAGTTTCAGTGCAGTATATAAGTTGTGGTGGTTGCTATTAATCTACCACAGAATGGAAAAAGATCACAGACCACAGACAAAGTTCTGATATTAAGCATTAAAGGTCTACCACCACCAAAGAACACCTATAAAACCTGGAAGAGGTAGCCATCTCCTCAAATGCCCAGGCAGCAACATAACGACACAAAGATAAAGAACAGAGAAATATGACAGCAACAAAGGAAACCAACAAAACACCAGAAATGAATCCAGAAGAGCAGTTGATT